ATATTATTTTTTCAAGTGTTTCGATCCACATAATCAATCATCATGACATTGCAATAAATGAAAAGCTTATGACACAAATTTCATTTGTGTCACTTGGTCATAATTAACAAAAAAAAAAAAAAAAAAATTCTAACAGTATTTTTTATAAATTCTCATCTTTATAAATCACGTAAACTCCCTCAAACTCTTTTTTTTCTTTTATTAAAAGTAAAATTTTCAAATATACGACGATTATTTTGATTATTGATTAAAAAAAAAAAAATTTTGAATATTTTTAACGGTTAAAATGGAAAAACAATGAAATTGAGTAAAATGTACGTGGTGGCCATTAACGAATAATAATCGCAATAAAAACCGATGATAATAAATTCATTGCGGCGAATAAATTCCAATTGTCATTTGAGGAAAAAATGTAAAAAAAACAACAACAATTCAATTATAACCTCTTTGTAATATTTATTTTTTAAAACACAATACTTCAATTATGTTAATAAATATTATTATTATCTTTTTTTTGTTTGAATTCGATGGAATAACGGTGTGGCAAAAAAATGAAAAAAAATTTCAACCATCACTCTCTTTTTTTTTTCTTTTATCATTATTAATAAATTTTAACGCAAACTGCTAAATTTTAAGGGCGTGGGTATTGGAGAAGCTTGAAATACCCCAGAATGGAGTGGGAATAAATCTTAGTTCGCCTTACAAGAACAAACCTGTACCTAAAATAAGGGGATAAGTGACCTAGAACCCTGCCGAGACATTGAGGATGCACCGACCCTTGTTCGAGGGGGTGACACTAGACACTTGATCCAAAATAGGGAAAATTCGGATGTGAAAAGAAGACAAATGAAAGATCAACGGGATTCGCGACCCCAGACATCTCTCTCTCTCTCTCTCTCTCTGCGGAAGAGGCAGGAACGATGGATCGTCTCTTGAAGGGTAGAAAAGAGGAAGTACCGAGATCTTCCTCAAGTTAAATTCCAATCCTCGCGAGTGCGAACCTGATGGTTCTGAATCAGGAGGGGGTTGAACCCGAAATGTACCTCCCACCAGGAAAAAAAACAAATGGTACTTACCCACCAGTTGAAGTAGAGTAGTAGTGGCTTCATCTAAGTCCCACACTCTCCCTGCTACCGAGTGGGAAGTCTAGTGCGAAATGCTGCGATTCTCCTGTATTAACAAAAAAAAAAAAAAAAATTAATTAAAATAATTAATAATTTGATTTTATAAAAATACTTTCACTATCAAACAATAATAAATAATATTAATAATAAATTTTTTTAAAATTTATATGTAGTTAAATAAATTTTCACTTTTTATAATTATAACATAAACATGATTACATATATATTTTTGTTTATTTTATCATCATCATCATCATCACCACCACCATCATCATCATCATCATCACCACCACCATCATCATCATCATTTCAATCATTCCTCATAACAAAATAAAAAATAAATAAATCTTTTCAAAATGTTTATGTTAGAAAAAAAAAATAACCAATAAAAACAATGTTATGCATTACGTTATAATAATATAATACGTTATAACGTTATAATAATGGAAGGGAAAATTTAGAAAATATGAATAATAATAATAATAAAATCTGATTGGTTTAAACCTTTAAAAAAAATTGTTTTGATTACATGCACATAATTCATTACATGCAAAAAAAAAAAAAAAAAAAAAAAAGGAGGAAGGGCATAGGAATTTTCTTTAACATTGACCTGTTCCATACACCATTTTTTTTATAATTTAATAAAAACTTTATGAAAAAGTTTTAGTTTTTGTTAAATAGTCAAACGACATTGATCTTTTTTAATTGTAAACCTTTTTTTGTTGTGTGGGTGTGCGTAGGAAAAAAAAATTTTTTATTTTGATTTTTTTGTTTTTTTTTTTAACGGTTAAAACGGTTAATTATTAATTATGAGTAACATTTTATATTCTGTCATTGATAATTATGATAACGTATTACAGTCAACAAGAGGTGAGATTTTTTTTTTTTTTTTTTTTTTTTAAATGCAATTAAAATAAATTTCAAATTTTTTTTTTTGTAAATCCAAAAGGGGATTCATGGCTTTTCATGTCAAATCCAATTTCAATTTTTTTAATACTTGTCGGTTATTTATATTTCGTTTTAAAATTGGGTCCGGAATTAATGGAAAAAAGAAAACCTTACAATATGAAATTATTATTAATTACATATAATTTATATCAAGTACTTTTTAACTTGGGGTTAGCATCAGTGGTAAATATTATCATTATTATCAATCAATCAATCAATCAAATAAATTATTACGAATTTAATTAAATTTAATTTTTTCTTTTCCAGCCCATTAGAATGGGTTTGATGGGAAATTTATTTTTAAGTGTATGTCATAGGTCAATACCAAAAGATGGTTATTTTGCCAGCGAATTATCCAGGGGAGCCTGGTGGTATTTTATATCAAAAGTTGTCGATTTATTAGATACTGTTTTTTTCGTTTTAAGAAAAAAACAAAATCAAGTTACTTTCCTCCACGTTTATCATCATACGGTTACTTGTTTATTTTCATGGGGATACCTTAAATATTTACCAGGTGATTATTATTATTATTATTATTACATATTAACATTATTATTTTATAAATAAATATTAATAAAAAAAAAAAAAATTTCTTTGTTAATTTAAGGTGAACAAGGGATTTTTATCGGATTTTTAAATTCGTCCGTTCATGTTTTTATGTATGCATATTATATGATTGCTGCCATGGGACCAAAATACGTTAAATATTTATGGTGGAAAAAATACATAACGTGGATACAATTAGTAATTATTATCATTAATATTTTACTCATTATGGCATTATTTTAACATATTAAATTTCTATTATTATTTTCATTTCAGGTTCAGTTTTGCATTATGCTTGTGTACCTTTCATCCCTCATTGTTTTAGATTGTCAACTTCCAAAAGCGTTGACATTTTTTTTCACCGTTAACGTTACCATTTTTTTATATCTTTTCATACAATTTTATAGGAAAGCATATTTTAAAAAGTCACGTGACATGTAATAAATTTAAATAACGCACAAACAACATTTCTATTGATTTTTCTCTATCTCTCTCTCTCTTTTATTTATTTTAATTAATTTAAATATATATTAAGTTTATGTAAAATTATCAAAAATCAATTATAGTAATAATAATAATAATAATAATAATAATAAAAACTTAATTTAACAAAAAAAATAAAACTAAACAAAAACGTTTGTTTCGTTTGTAAATATTTATATCTATAAAAATAATATATATATATATATATATATATATTATTGTAACATAAGTAAATATATGTGATTTTATTAATAAATATTTTTTTAATATATAAATAAATGAAAAAAAAAACTGAATAAATTTTATTTTTAAAACATTTTTAAGTAAAAAAAAATGAAAAAAAAAAATTAAAAACAGCATATATGTAATGTACAATTAAGATAATAATAATAATTAAATATTAATAGACTTATTTCTTTCACTACAATTATAACCGTTTAAAATATTAATTATTTTTTTTTAATAAAAAATAAAAATTTAATTTAAATACTATAATTAAAAAAATAAATGATTTTGTTTCAATTGCAATAATAATACGTTTTTTCTTTTTTAACCTTAAGTGCATTTTATCATCTAGAACAATGTTTAAGTTAAAGTGCATTAATTGGGTCAGTCACTCTCACTCGTATAATTAATAAATTCAAAATAAATGTGTATTACTTATTATTATTATTATTATTATTATTATTATTATTATTATTTCATGATACTTTTTATCATTTTCCGTTGATTTTTTTTTTTTTTTAAAAAAAAAATATTTTATCGAAACAATGAGGAATAATATTCGGATTTTGATGCTATTTTGTGTACACCGTACAAAGCTAATCCCAAAATGGAAGCCTTAAAAGTAAATTTAATTACTTTAAACGTTTTTGATGGCGGAGGAATTTGAAGAGATTTTGAAAATTCTACTCGGTCAAATTTTCCCCAATTCCTTTGAATTCCTGCCACGTGACCGATTCCAACAACTCCAACAACACTGAAACATATAATATTTACTTAAATTTATTACCAATAAAAACTTTTAACAATATATATATATATTTTTTTGGTAAATAAATAATAATAATTAATAATATTATATTACGTCGCTGGAATAACTTCTTCCGCGCTATTTGTCATTATGGAAGCCATCACCAAACTATGTGATAAAAACAAATCTCTTTCGTTAACAAAAACATTTTTCAATTCTGGAAATTCTCCACCCAACATTGCAAGCATTTCTTCTAAATAATCTCGATTTTTACACTTTTCTATATCTTCTTCGCTGTAAAATTTATTGAAAAAAAAAAAAATTTTTTTTTGTTTGTCATTTAAAAAAAAAAAACAAATTAAAATAATAATAATAATAATAATAAGAAATAAGTTTGTAAAACATACTCAAATTTTTTTTTACTGAAAATAACATAAAATGCAAATTTAATCGACTGCCACCAGGATAGGCTGGCAAAAGCTCTTCTTAATGTTATTTCAATTGGACGATCTCCTAAATGTACAACACAACCTGGAACATTAACAGCTTCTTTATATGCTCTACGAAATTCTCCACCTGGAGCCATTCCCAATTCTCTTGTGATTTGAGCAGAAACGGAAAGAAGTAAAAGATACAAGGCACCCTGTTGTAATCCATAATTTTGAATAGTCTCTTTGACCATTTCTACATTTGAAAATATGTTTTTTTTTTTATGACATTTTGTTTTAATTTAAAATTTAATATAATTCAATTTTTTTTTTTTTTTTTAAACTTACTGAACTCCATTTTTTCTGCAATTTTTAATATTTTTTCTTCTTTCCATTGTAGCATATAAGATCTAGATTCGCAAAGCTCCAAAACAACAGAGTTTGGTTGCACAGCTCTTATTACCTATGTTGAAAATAAAAATTTGTTATAACAATCTTATCACCTTTTAATCACAAAAAATATTTTTCTAGAAATTATGATAATCTTTTAAACTTTCTTTAGTGAATAATAACGATAAAACTTTTATTAAATTTAAATTGGTATGAAACTAAAATATTACTTTACCAAATTTAATATTAAAAAAAAATGATTGCAGTAAAGTTGTGGTTTATTTTAAGTAGCAAAATTAAAATTTAAAAAAAAAAAAAAAAACATACTAACCTTGGCTACATCTTCTTGACTTTGTTCGCTGAAATGTGCTGTGCCAACGAGGTACACCTTAGACCCCCAATCTGTTTCTAGAACGATTGTAGTATCGGGCAAAACAAATTCAGCATTATCATTATTTGAAACTGGTAAATAATTTCCTAAAACTAAATTAAAAATAATTAATTAAATTAGTTTTTTAATGATGAGGTATAACATTAATTGAATAATGTATGAACATTATTTTTTTTAAAACAAGAAAATAAATATAATACAAAATATATATTTACCTTTATTACCATCATTTTGATTATAATTATTAGTTATGTCAATATTGGCTGAATCATTAACCTTATTTGCTTGCTTATCACTGGTATCTAAAATAAAAATTAAAATATTATTTATACAATTATAAAAAAAAAAAAAAAAAAACACTAAAACAATATTTAAAATTCAACATTCTTACTTGTTTCACTTTCAATTAAATCAGAAGAAGGGGAAACATTTTTTTTCTTTTCTTTTTCATTTTCATCTGACGAAAAATTTAAATTTTTATTATTTTCTAAACTGTTTGACATATGATTTGGTTCAGAATTTTTTTTTATATCACCATAACCACCTTCATTCATTCTGAAAACAGCAAAACTAAATGTTTATATCAAAATATTGCCATACTCAAATTTTACTACTACTCGGGTACTTTACAAAATTTTGAAAAATATCATATAAAAATATTTATTTTTATGAAAAAAAAAAATAAAAAATAAAAATTTGTATTTCAAAACAAAATAATTATAAAAGAATAAATAAAGTACAATATATCAGAAACATATGTCAACGATTGAAATTTTACGAACGTGTCCGTAACATTCACAAAGGTATTTACCCGCGAAAATAACAACCACGTTAATTTCTTAAAATTTTACCTAAGATTCTAAAATTTTTGTTATAAGTTTCGTATTTTTTTCAAATGAGAAACGATTAAAACAATGAATTTATTTTGTTTTGTATGAATAAAAAAAAAATCCAGGTTTTATTTCCGTCATTCCGTAGAAAAATTTTCAACTTTTTGTAAAATTTCCATTCGATGTAAGTTTCCTGAAATTATATAAAATAGTTTGAAAAAAAAACACAACAAACTGAAAAAAAAAAAAACCGTTTTTTTTTTCTCATAAATAAAAGTTATAATTATATTAATTATAAGAAATTATTGTTAACTTTTAAATAAACATAACTTAATACATTTACAAAACTTTTTAAAAAAATACGAGTTCCATGCAAAGTAATTATAACAAAATCAAAATTATTATTATTATTATATACAGCACAAGAAAATAATTATTGTGTAAACGTTACAAAATAATAAATAATTTTAACACAAAATAAGTTCTCGTTTAATAAATTAACCTGAAAACAAAAATCCTTTACAATTTTTATAAACAGTTTAACGTTTTATAAATTTCATTTATAACTAAAAACCCATACGACATATTTTATTTGTACATTAAAAGAAAATCCATTTTTTTTTTTCACTGCAAAACTATAAATATATATATATATATATGTAGAATAGAAAACCTGAATACCTTATAAATACCAACCGCGCTTATATATTTATATGTAAGAGAATTATATAAAAAGTACATGTATATGTATATCTAAAAATAATTTTTATAAAAAAGTTATTCCATTGAACGTAATTATAACAATTTTTCCCCTAGTGCAAAGGATTCAATCTTCATCTTCAACATGTTCTTCTTCAAGGTCTTTCTTTCTTGCCTTATAAGCTCTTCTGGAAGTTGTCGGTGGCTGATCAGCTTCCCCTTAAAGTAAGATAAAATATGTGAAATGCATTTCGAAGAACAAAAAAAAAAAAAAAAAAAAAAATTATAAATAACGTACCTTGAATTAACGTATTTCTATAAGACACGAGAGGTTGCCAATCTTCTCCCCGACTCGATGGCATACCCGTGTGAATTTTTCTATCTAAAAATTGCAAAACGAGTCTTTTGTCTTGCTTGAGAAGCTTATTTGTAAATTCCGAGATTATATCTAAAAATAAAATATTAGGCGGGGGTCCCGTGGGATCGTCTATGTTTTCCAAAGGATTCACAGCAAATCGAATTCCATCCCTGTGCAAAACGGTTATGGCTTCGCGATTTCGAATCGCATCCAAACCGAAACTGAGAGCGAATCTTTTCGCCAATTCTTTTATATTAAGATATTCTTCGCTTTGCTTGTTTATTTTGCTATTTTCCCTTTGCAGTTGTTGGAAGAGTGTTATCAAGCTGTTAACCATCGTTATGGCGCAACTTGTTTTGTTTATTTCTCTCGTTTTACCCACGGTGTGCTTTATAATATCACCGAACTGATTGTAATATTTAACGTAATGTTTGAAAACGTCGGAACCGCATTGAACGGGGATTATATTGTACACTATCAGCTTGCAAAATGACGCAAGGAAATTTCTCTTCTTGTGCAAGTCTTCAATTTTAGAATGTTCATCTTGAGTGGCATCTTCTTCGGCAACAAAAACATATTTTTGAATAAAATTATTTAACAATTCTTGAAGTTGCCTATCCGCTTGATAAATCAAACAGCTTAAAGATGGATTAGAACCTAAAATCAAAAAAAAAAAAAAACAAATCAATATTTCTAAATTTAAAAATAACCAATTTAAAAATATTTTTAAAAAATAAATTTAAATTTTTTACCCAGCCTTTCACAGAATATAATAAGAAAGTCGCAAATGACGTTATAAGCATCTTCTTGAAACAATTCGGATTCGGAATTTAAAATGATTTCTTTCATTGTTCCCATATACTCATTCAGTCTTAGTCGAAGTAAAGATATTTCCCGTTCGGCCGTTCCCCCACCCGATAATATTTCTTCTATGTGCGAAAGCTCCCACTGCAAAGCGAAAAATGTTGCTCCTATGCAACTTTTCATGGCTCTTTCGGGTAATTTCATTTCATTTTTTGAACAGTCGACGACATCTTTATACAGCATATCCCACAATTCCCATTTGCCTGCCAAAAAAAATTTTAAATAATGTTTTTAAATATTAAAATAATTTTGCAATCGCAAAAACGATTCCAAGAATAAAATATTTACCCAAATCGTGACAAGAATAAAAAATTTCAATTTTTTTAAGACTGGATTCTATGTTAAATATTTCATCATCGTTGGGTACGTCGTCATGAGCTGCTATCAGAGAATTCCATTCATCTATTGCCTCTTTGTATTTGGTCACTATCGACTCGATCATTGTACACCTTTATAATAAAAACAAACGGAATAGAAATAAATTACAAAATATAAAATTAATAAGGAATGTAAAAGGTTATACCTGGATGTTTGACATTTAGTATAATTTACATGACTCTCGTAGCATAGTTTTTCTAAAGTTTTAGCGGCAGTTTCCAAAACATCCGTGTCTTCGTGTTTTTCAATTATCTTACTTATTTTTAATAATAATGAATCAAGATTAGCTTCCTGCCTTGATTTTGTATACAATTCTAAATCAAAGTGTTGGGGAATGTAAAGAAGATTTGCTAATTTTTCGGGATCTGTAAAAGAAGAATAAATATTAAAATAATAATAATAATAATAATGGAAAAATATTAAAAATTTTAAAATAATTAAATATGCAAGTTTTATAATTTACCCGAGCTGAATTTATCAAGAAGAATCGGTAATGTAATTATAAAATGAGACGTTAATTTTTGCTTGTCTTCTTGAATAGCTTTGAATTCTTTCTGGGAAAGAAGTTTCCTCGTGCTACCTCGTCCTACGGGAGGTTCACCTGTAGCACTTTGTTTTATGGCACACACCTTAAAAGATAAATAAATAAATAAAATTTTATTTTATCTCGTTGAATATTTTAGATAGAAAAAATTTATATTAAGTTTACCATTATTTCAATAAGAGAAGTCTCTTGCCGGTTGTCTAAAGCTTCTTCCGTTGGGCCCGGATCTTCTAAAAGTAAGTCAGTCATGCATTCCCAGTCTTTGACCATAGCATTTGAATCAATTAAAGAATCAACCAAATAAGCACCGTGTTCGTGTAATTCTGATTCAATGAAAAATTGCACTAAATCGCGTATAAGAGGAGTGTTGGGAGATCGTTTTTTTCCTATAAAGTATTAATAAAAAAATAATAAATTTGAATCATTAAACATGACGATTACTAAAATAAATTATTAAATGAGAAATGTACCGCGCTTTGTGCGAACAATAGCGTTCGATTCTTCATCAGGTGTGAATAAACGTTCATTTAAAAATTCTCCTGCAGCTTGTGCCACTGCTCGATGAGAAGAATAAACTAATTCATACACATGTTCACAGTCTTTATCTGTTAAAATATCTCTGTGATGTTTTAAAATGGATATAACCAATCTAACTGCTTGAACTGCAACATCATAATCCCTATCAAGAGTCATTGAGACAATCCGGTCTTTAAATTTAGAAGTGAACAATTCCAACTTATTTTTTAATTCTTCAGATTCATACAAAGGAATTAAAGCTTGAAGGCATTTTAACCTGCAAAAAGTTTTTTAAAATTATACATTTTGATAATTCAGTTTTTACGATAAAACTATACCATTTAATGGTATTATTTTGATTTGAAAACCTCAAATTTTTTACCTGACTTCCCCAACTCTATCATGAAGTGTCCAACCGATATATTTCAAATAAGAATCATCTAAAAAATTAGTGTGAAATTTTCGCATCCATATGCCTATTTCTGTCATACAAATGGCCCGAATTTCAGGTAATGTATCTCTATAACGATGCACAAATACAGATTTAAACATATATGTTAGCATATTTTTAATTTCATCCATATTTTCATCTAATTCTGTTCGTTTTAATAATAATGATTCCAGGCGATCAGTAGCTCGCTTATTTTGCGCTTTTTGTCGTTCTGCTTCATACTGTCTAAGTGTATTATCAGTATTAACGGAAACAGTAAGGGCAACATCAACTAATGCTGTCATTAATTTCATAGCTGCAAGAGTTGCTGTGTGACGAAAGGCTCTAACCTAAAAATTAAAAACTTTTTTAGTAATGTACTTGACAATTTTAATTTACACAGATACACATTTCAAATTTAAGTTAGTAACTTTTAAAAAAAACTCCACATTTAAAAATAAAAAGAGAATCAACCTGTGAATCAGACAATCCAGTTAGAAGTGAAATAACATTATCCATCAAATACTGATCATAAATAATTGAATATTGGCATTGTTTTACTAATATTTGAACAAATTCTGTGAACTGACTTTTAAATTTTTTCCATTGTTGACCAGCACTAATAAGAGGATATTCACCAGATGACTCATCAAACTCCTCAGTCATTTTTCTAATTATAGCAGCATGTTCCCATTTATGCATCTCAGGAGTAATTTTACCTTTACAACCAGCAGCATTTATGAAAAACTGCATTAATGCCAAAAGCGCATCATCTTTGTTTACTTTATAATTTTCAATCCACTCATCGACTGTACCCTAAAAAATTTAATCGTGAATAATTACACTCATGTTATTTAATAAAGTAGTAAAGTAATCCAATAGTACTTACCTGTAATGAACTTTTAGAGTGCATTATTATGTAGTATAAACTTGTTTCTTCATTTCTTGAACCACCACCTGAATACTGTGCTCTTTTTTTTCTAGCAGGTCGCTTGGGTTCAGGTGATAAGTCATCTTCCATGGCTCTTTTAAGACTTTGAATTTTAATAGGAGGAATAGGTGGAGGATTTTGCACTCCTCTTGCACGAGCTCTAGTAACTCTTCTAGGAACTGGAGTAGATGGATTTTCATAATCAATTTGTCCCAAATCTATAAAATTGCAAAAAAAAAAAAAACAAAATGTTATTAGGAGAATTATAGGAAAAACTTAAAAAATACAACAGAAAGATAAAAAAGAATATCTTTTAAAATAAGCATTTTTAGTGTTATTAACAAAAATAACTTACCATTACTTTGATCGTGATCATTTTGATCGTAAGAATTATCTCTGTCATAATCTGCTTCATTAAAAATTTCTGTACTATTATTTTGTGGTGTAGATGGGTTTGTTATGTAAAATCGTCCATACCAAGATTCATGAACGTCCATTTCATTTTCCTGTCCAGCTGGAGTCATAGGAGTTTGTGGATTTTCATATTCGGGTGGTATTGGGTCGTCGAGTCGAATTCTCTTACCCCCAACAGCGCGACGTATCATTTTCACAATTTTTTAAGATTATGTCTGTAAACAACCATAACTCATTCCCTTAAAATGGCTACCGTTTAGTTTGAGCGGGTTACTAAAATATTTACTCTATGGGATCAAAAAAGTTAGTGCCACTTTATTAAAAAGAAAGAGTAATTAATCGCATTACTCATAAATTTTATTTTTACAGTGCAATTAACACAGTAGATATTTTATAATTAGTTCACAAAAAAATTTGAGCTATAAAAGCTGTAATCTTTTAAAAAAAAATTTTTTTTCGAAGTAAAGCTTACTTTCAAAGGAAAGTTTTATATTGGCACGTGTGTTGAATCTTTGATTCATTTTACATTTTAGTCTTGAAGTTTGTAATTTAAGAAATCAATATGCCTGAACTCAAGAAAACACCTCCGACTGCCAAAAATCAAAAAAATTCTACCGGATCTGGAACTGATTCTGATTCTGATGGATCTATTCCTGAATTGGAAGAATCTGGAACAAATCATTCATCCGAATTTGCAAATGCAGGCGGCATAGCCATGGATATTTCAAAAGCAAAGCAAAGTCGGGGAGAAAAAAAAGCCAGAAAAATTATGTCTAAGTTGGGCTTAAAACTTATCTCTGGAGTAACTCGTGTTACGATTAGGAAGTCTAAGAATATCTTGTTTGTGATTAGCAAACCTGATGTATATAAGAATCCGGCTTCTGACACTTACATTGTCTTTGGAGAAGCCAAAATTGAAGATTTAAGTCAACAAGCTCAAGTAGCTGCTGCTGAAAAGTTTAAAACACCTCAACTTACAGTTTCATCAGATGGAGTGAGTAAAGTAATGCCTATTCAAGAAGAATCAGATGAAGAAGATGTCGATGATTCTGGTATTGAGGAAAAAGATATTGACCTGGTTGTTTCCCAAGTGAATGTATCAAGAAGTAAAGCTATAAAAGCTTTAAGAAATAATGATAATGATATAGTTAATGCTATAATGGAGCTTAGTATGTGATCCTTTTCATGCTGATTTTATACCCTTAAAAAAAGTTTTTTTTCTTTTTATTTTCTTAATTCATTATTTTTTACAATTCTTTGCAATTGTAAGTTAATGTTTTTAAATATTGTGAATTTTCTCACTTATTAACCAATTATATTTTATTTGTAATAATGTAATAAAAATTATAAGTTTTTCTTTTACATCTCAAGTTTATCTTATTTATTAAACCTTGCTATCAAAAAAATATTTTACTGAATTTTTAATTGAAAAGAGTTAAATAATTACTCATGGTATTCAGTATTTATTAAAGAAATAAATACTGCACATGAAAAACATAACTGAAGAAAACATTGTAAAGTTAACTTTTATTCTTCCTCAAGTTTTATTTTAATTATTAAAAAAACATGTTCATTTTTTTCTATTATTGAATTAATTTTAATACAAGTTTATCGGATCTTTTGTGGGATGTTAAATAATTTTATTTTTAGAACAAAGAATAATATTACATAGAGTAAAAAAATGATTTATTCTTGAGTAATATATCGCGATACCTCGTAAATCTTCGATACTATGATATGTCTGAAAAAGATGTAACAGATATTTCTGATAAAATTTCGGAAAATATTGAACTCGAAAAACTTAAAATTGTATTTAAAAATGAAATAAATTCGATCAGAAGGTATGAAGAAATCGATAATTTAGATACTTTGTTGGAAGTTTTAATCGATAGAGATGCGTTAACGGACGATATTATTAAAAAATTAGATTCAGAATATCAAATCTTTGCAAACAAGTTCAGAAAATTGAGACACGAAGAAAGGAAATTTTTGCCGCCAAACGGTTATTATTTGATTTTTTTTGGAAATAAAAAAAAAAAAACATAATATTTATAGTTTATTCTTTTTTTAAGTTCGACTACTAGTAGCTGAAACACATAGAACTACTTGGAGAGAGGTGGCAATATACTTGAAATTAACTTCGTTTCAATTGGAAACTTGTAAAAACATAGAAAGCGTGTTGTCCTGTTTTGAAAAAAATTGTGTTGGAATTTCTAGTCAAGAAATGATATTTAGACTAAATCGAGCATTGGAAAATTTTCATAATAATTATAAAAGTTTAAATCAACCAAAGACATAAACAAAGTAATTTTTTATAATACTTTAAAATTTTTTTATAAATTATTAATTTAAATTTTTTTTATTAGGTTTAACACAGCTCTAATCTTATTTTAACAATTTGTGATAATGTGCATTTGTTTATTTAATTTTTATATGTATTACCATAATGTTATTATAACTTTGCTGCTTTAATTTTATATATTCTTGTAATTTAATTGGTAAAGTTTTATGCTTTATATAGTTAAACTTTCAGATTGTAAACGAATATTTATTAGAAAATGCATAAACAACATAAAAGGCATGAATCTGAGTCTAAAAGTCATAAAACAGTAAAGCAGTCATTATTTGAAGAATTAAAAAATGACCTTAACCAAATTCTCCAAAAGTACAAATGGGTGGAAGATTACAATGATTTTTGGGCATTTTTAAAAAAATATCAAAATGTAAAAAAACCTGAATGTGAAAAAGTTAAGGATCTCATTTGTTTTAATTTAGATGTTAATTATAAGCAAATTCTCAATCAAGTTTCAAACAGACATTTAGATTTAGTAAAACTAAAGGAATTTTTTTCAATAGTTCTAGCTTATTTAAACTTCAAGCAAATTGAAAAATTTAATAAGTTAAAACAGATTCGAAAAATACAAAATGAATTACCAGTTTCAGTATACGAGAGTGAAATCGTTGAAAGCTTAAAAAGAGATAATGTGTTAATTATAGCAGGAGATACTGGATGTGGAAAATCAACACAAATACCGCAGTTTCTGATGAGGAATGGCTTTGGAAGTATAGCTTGCACACAGCCTAGGCGATTGGCATGTGTATCTTTGTGTTCTCGTTTAAAATATGAAACATTAACTCAATTTCAGAATAAAATTGGATATCAGGTTCGTTTTGAAAGAGCCAAAAACAAAGATACAAAAATAGTTTTTTTAACAGAAGGCCTTCTTGTTAGACAAATGCTTTCTGATCCTGGACTTTCTTCTTATGATGTAGTTATTTTAGATGAAGTTCATGAACGTCATATTCATAGCGATTTCGTCCTTGGCTTGTTAAAATGTCTCATAACAAAAAGGGATAATTTGAAATTAGTTTTAATGTCGGCTACAATTAATATTAATCTTTTTAGTGATTATTTTGATAAAAAAGCTAAAGTCATTGAAATTCCAGGAAGGCTATTTCCAGTGCAAGTCATTTATAAACCTGTTTTTGAAGATGATTCTAAAAAAAGGAGCAAAGTGGATGCCACTCCCTATTTGCAAATTATGAACATAATTGATGAAAAATATCATAATGAAAAAGGAGACTTACTTATATTTATGAGTGGAATATCAGAAATTATGTGCCTGGCAGATGCGATAAATGAATATAGGAAAAAAAGTCCTAATTGGATTGTTTTGATGCTCCATAGTTCTTTACCATTAAGCGATCAAGACAAAGTTTTTGATTATGCTCCAGAAGGATACAAAAAATGTGTTATATCTACCAACATTGCCGAAACATCTATAACCATTGATGGTATCCGGTTCGTTATTGACTCTGGAAAAGTAAAAGAAATGTTTTATGATACCGTTTACAAAATTCAAAGGTTAAAAGAATTTTGGATAAGTCAATCATCCGCAGAACAAAGAAAAGGAAGAGCAGGCCGTACAGGGCCTGGAATTTGTTATCGAATTTATTCCGAAAAGGAATATTTGACTTTTGAAGAGTATTCTCTGCCTGAAATCAAAAAATCACCATTAGACACTGTTTTATTGCAAATGATTAATTTGGGTTTATCGGATGTTCGTAAATTTCCTTTTATCGAAGAGCCTAATAAACAAGACCTTGAAAATTGTATATTAAGTCTTAAGCAACAAAGAGCATTAACTGATGATGAAAACATTACTGAAATTGGTAAAACGTTAACAAATCTTCCAGTGGAACTAACAATAGGAAAAATGCTCATAATTGGTTCAGTTTTCTGTCAAGTGGATACAACCATTGTTTTATCTTCTGCTTTAAGTATTCCCTCTCCTTATACGAATGAAGCATTTAGAAATTTCGATATGGAGAATTTACGAAAAGATTTTGAATCTAATCACGGAGATCCTTTAACGATATTAAATCTTTACAGAGAATGGTTAATTATAAAGAGAGAAAAAGAGGATTCAAGACGATGGTGCAAAAAAAGAGGTTTGGAGGAACAAAGGTTTTACGAAATGACAAAATTAAACCATCAATTTCGAGAAATATTGACAGAAAGCGAATTATTAGAATTAAATGAACCCGAGCCAACGACAAGCCATGAAAGAATGATTCGTCAGGGTGAAGTTAAACTTTTAAAAAGGCTTAAAGCAAACTATTCAAAATCTCCATCGAGAAAAAGATTAAAACCTGATTTTTACGAAGTTGAAAACGATTCGGAAAAACTAGAGCCAGACATAAAAGATATTGAATTCAGGCTTAAAAACGATGGTAGCAAAGTTCGAGAACTACTTAATGGTATCCATGTGACGTCATATAAGGATTTAGCCATTTTAAAAATAGTTTTTTGCTCTGGTTTATATCCGAGATTTGCTATCGCTGATGAATTTAATATATGTAGAAGTGATCAGTTTTTTCATACCAAAATCAAATCTCACGTTTCTTTACACCCATTTAGTTATTTTGGTTTGCATCCGGATGCTCTAAAGCTTGAGGATCAAGACATTTTCAATCCCACATCCGATATTAAATATTCTACAAAAACTTTTTCATCAAAACATAAAATTCTTTGTTATTTTACAATGTTGGAAACGACAAAAGTTTATTTAACGAATATGATTCAAATGCCGGCTTTGCAGTCTTTTTTACTTTTTTCTAAAAATATTGATACAAGTTTCAACCTATCAAAATTTGTATTCGACGGTTGGATTTTAATTGAAATTTTAAATCCTTTACAATCGGAAACTTTGTTAATAAAATTAATAAATTTACGAACAAGATGGGATTCTTTGGTTTCAAAAAGGTTATCTCGTTGTCAAGTTGATAGAGCACAAATAATTAAATTAACGGATGATATGATTACTTTTCTCAACACTGACATCATTTACGGTATAAAACGTTTACTACCTGCAGATTTAAAATATTTATATACTGGGCCAACGGATTTTGAATTACCAGATAATTGTTTCGATGAGAATTTTTCAATGAAAAAAAATGATGTTAAAGGTGGAATTTGCGTGAGTGAATTTTTAAATTACAATTGTTTGGTACCCAACGAAAGAGAAGATTTTTATGCTTCGGATACTTTTCATTGTTCATCTTGTGATAATAAATATGAATTTAACTGTTTAGAAAGAATTCAACATAGGAAAAAATGTGAAAAACCTTCAGAGTGTACAATCAATAATTATAGTGAAAAAAGAAAAAATACAAATGAATATTTTTGTAATATTTGTAATAAAAAATATTTTTTCACCAGTATTGAAATATTAAAGCATCAAAAAAAATGTAAATAGTAGATAGTAATTTATTTCAATTATAATTTTTTATTAATTAAAAAGTTTTTCATTTTAATTATTTACCCAAATTTTCTTTTCGTTTAATTTTTAAAAGAAAACTTTTTCAACTTTTATTAAGTAAATATTAATTTGTAAAAACATTATTATACTTTTTAAATAAAAAATTATTTAGTTAATAAAGGTTTATTTGAATTATTTCATTATTTATTTAGGTTATTGCTTTTTTCACTTTGATTAGTTGAAAAAAAAGAAAAAGGTGAAATTTAATTCTTAGTATCGATGACTGTTTTGAAAATTTTCAAATTTTATTATAAACATTTTATTTTTTGAAAATAATGACGTCACTTTTATGTAACAACCAATCAAAATTACATGAACAATTGTCAAAATACGATTGGTCCACATAAACCCCGCCATGTTATTTAAGAACACGTAATACAATTCCTCAAACGTTTTTAATATTCTTTGATTGAATTTGTTGCGAATGTTGTACTAAAAAATGTTGGACAAAATGACAAGAGTCATTTTGATTATATGTTTTATAGGATTAATCGGTAAGTCAAAACGATTTTTTCAATGTGACAGAATATTTTTTAGTAATAATGATTCTTTCTAAACGTTTATACAACCTTTATCTAATGCCGGCAACGTAATTAATAATTTTGTTTTCCAAAATTTAATGCATCCGGTAAACCTTATTTAAAAGGAATAGATTTGAGAAAAGATAATTGGCTTTATAATTTTTTTAATTACTTGCAAAATATAGTTTACTTAAATTTTTAATTCTTCAAAAGTAGCTTACACATGCATAGACCTTCAAATATTTTCCCTGATGGAATTAAAGTGTTTTTAAATATATCGTTTATTTAGGACAATGTTATTGCGAAGAAAGTCCTAGTGATGATGTGGAAACAGTTACTGTAGAACCTGATTTAGGAGCCAGTAGGGAGGCCCTAAGAACTGATGATAATGTTGTTCAAAGAGAAGAGGAAGCTATTAAACTGGATGGTCTCAATGTTGCACAAATCAAGGAATTACGAGAAAAAGCAGAAAAATTTCACTTCCAAGCAGAAGTTAATAGAATGATGAAATTAATTATAAATTCTCTTTATAGAAATAAAGAAGTAAGTTATTTTGTAACAATAAGTGCAACTACTAAAACAAAAAAAAAATATTTTTTTAAAATAATACATTGATTTTTTTCTTAGATTTTCTTGAGAGAACTTATATCGAATGCTGCTGATGCATTGGATAAAATCAGATTGTTGTCTTTGACAGATAAATCAGTTTTAGATTCTAATCCAGAATTAGGAATACGATTAAAGGTTTGTCTTTATGTTTATTTAAATTTGTCATATTTTTATTAATAATTTAATTATTATTAGCTTAAATTTAATTTTTTTTTTTTTAAGTTGAAATTTAATTTTCTAAAACTAATTTTTTAGGCTGACAAAGACAATCACATACTTCATATAATCGATAGTGGGATTGGTATGACAAAAAAAGATCTTATTAATAACTTGGGTACAATTGCTAAATCAGGTACAGCTGAATTTTTGGCCAAAATGCAGGAAGCTCGCTCGACAGCTGATTTTAATGATATGATTGGTCAATTTGGTGTTGGTTTCTACTCTGCTTTTCTCGGTTAGTTGAAAAAGTTCTCAATAAAATTTATTAAAATCTAATTTATACTTAAAATTGTAAATTAATTAAAATTTATACTTACAGTTGCTGACAGAGTTGTAGTAACCACAAAACATAATGATGATACTCAGCATATATGGGAATCAGATGCTGAAAGTTTTAGCATTGTTGAAGATCCTCGTGGAAACACTCTTAAACGTGGATCACAAATTAGTTTGCATTTAAAAGAAGAAGCCTATGATTTCCTGGAAGAAGATACATTAAAAAATCTAGTCAAAAAATATTCTCAATTTATAAATTTCCCTATTTCACTTTGGTGCAGTAAAGTAAATATTCAATATGTTATTAGTGATAATTTTGTGTTAGAATTTGTGTTACATTATTAATCTGGTTAATATTTTCAGGTTGTTAAAATTGAAGAGCCCATAGAAGAAATGGAAGAAGCAAAGGATGAATCTAAATCAGATGATGTTGCAGTTGAAGATGAAAAAGAGGAAAAACCTGGTAGTAAAACAGTTGATAAAACAGTTTGGAACTGGGAAGTTTTAAATGATTCCAAACCGATTTGGACTAGAAAGTAAGTCTTTTTTTTTTTTTTTTTTTTTTTTTTTTTTAAATTGGTAGTAATTAATGTTATTCATATAATTAACTTTTGACTTTGATATTTTTTAACTCAGACCAGCAGAAATAGAAGAATCGGAATATGTCAACTTTTACAAAAGCCTTACAAAAGATTCATCTGAACCCATGGCCAAATCTCACTTTGTTGCTGAAGGAGAAGTTACTTTTAAGTCTTTGCTTTTTGTTCCTCCTAATCAACCTTCAGAATCATTTAGTAAATACGGATCAAAATCTGATAACATCAAGGTTTGCCACTTGAAACTATTTAACGTGATTAAATTACACTAAACGTTTTTTGATTTCTAATAACGAAAAAAAAAAAAAAATTATAATTACAGTTATACGTTCGAAGAGTGTTTATTACCGATGAATTCAATGACATGATGCCCAATTATTTGGCGTTTATTCAGGGAGTTGTGGATTCTGATGATTTACCATTGAATGTTTCAAGAGAAACGTTACAACAACACAAGTTAATTAAGGTATGAATATTTAGTGAAGGGGTTTTTTTTTTTTTTTTAATGGTTGGAAGATAAATAAAATTAATTTGTTTTTACAGATAATTAAGAAAAAATTGGTTCGAAAAGCTTTGGATATGATAAAATCCATTAAAAAGGAAGATTATGAAAAATTCTGGAAAGAATATTCTACGAATATTAAACTTGGAGTAATCGAAGATTCGTCCAACAGAACCAGACTTGCTAAATTGTTAATGTTTCAATCATCAGCAGTAGACGGAATGACATCACTTGCTGATTACGTTTCTCGAATGAAACCAAATCAGAAACATATTTACTACATCGCTGGCGCTAGTAGAAAAGAGGTTCCTTCTTTTTCTTTTCTCTCGTTTTCCAAAAAATTTTAAGCTATTCAATTTATTCGAATGGTACGAATTTTCGTTTTGATTGATCAGGTTGAAAAATCACCTTTCGTCGAAAGACTATTGAAGAAAGGTTTAGAAGTTTTATATTTGGTAGAAGCTGTGGACGAGTATTGTTTGTCTGCCATTCCCGAATTCGATGGTAAAAGGTTTCAGAATGTGGCAAAAGAAGATTTCACTTTGCCAGACGACAAAGGCAATCGTAAACATTTGGCAGAAAAATTCGAACCTTTGCTTAACTGGTTGTCAAAAACGGCGTTAAAAGATCAAGTACGGCCAAAAATATTTTATACAATATATAAATCCCAATGAGACCTTAATTAAATGTATTATTAATTTACAGATATCAAAAGCTTTAATTTCTGAAAGGCTATCAGATTCCCCATGTGCACTCGTGGCATCCGTTTTCGGTTGGACCGGAAACATGGAAAGATTAGCTTTATCGAATGCTCATCAAAAATCAAGCGACGTTCAGAGAAGTTATTACTTGAATCAAAAGAAAGCATTAGAAATAAATCCCAGGCATCCGCTCATACAAGAATTACTGAGAAGAGTTGCCGATGACGAAAGCGATAAAACAGCTCAAGACATTGCTCTCATGATGTTCAGAACAGCCACGTTACGATCGGGTTACATGCTTCAAGAAACATCAGAATTTGCTGAAAGCGTTGAAACACTCATGAGGAAAACGCTTGGAGTTCCTCTAGATGCCGAGGTGACCAAAAAAAAATTTTTAATTAATAATAACTCATTTTTCATTCAGACAGAAAAATTTACAAAAAAAATTTTATAATTTTTTTCAACAGCCTGAAGACGAAGAAGAAGATGACTCGGATATTCGCGAACAAGATGACGTTAAAGAACAAGAAGCCGACGTCGAACACGATGAACTTTAATCAATATAAAATAAAATAAAAAATTTGTGATTTTTTAATTATTTATATATATATAAGATGACTGAAAAAAAAAAAAAAAAAGACTAAAGACAAGAAAAGAAAAAAAATTTTTTTTTTTATTATTTATTTAGTGTCCGTAAATAAGAATGAAAAAGAGAGAAGAAGAAAAAAGATGGAGAGAGACTGTTAATTATTATTTACCAGTGTGGTATTAATATAAAAATTAATTAATTAATTAATAATAAAAGAAAAGTTAGTTTTTTTTGTAAAATGGAATTAGAAAATGGTGTGTGTTAAATGTTAAAAGTCAAATATAAAATATTTTTCATCGGATTAAACTTTTTTTTTTTTTTTTTTACTTAATTTTTTTCGATTAATTTATATATATATTATATTTATATTTATATATATATATTACATAATATATTATTTGTTAGTAAGGTTAATTATTACAACAATAATAAAATTAAAAAATAAAATCTATACATATATATATATATATATAGGACAGAATAAATTTGGTGCATTTTTTTTTTATGTGTGTGTAAACCTAAGTACATAAATAAATGTGTGTGTATAACAACCACATATATTATTAGTGCAAAAAAAAAATTCCGACAAAAATGTTAATAAAAATAAATTTATTTATCTATATATATAAATAAATCTATAATTTATTTATTTATTTATTTATGGAATCATAAAAATTATCCAAGATAAAACATTAAAATAATCTTTAAATCTTTAAATCTTAAAATAAATAAATAAATTTATTTAAAAATAAAAAAAATAAAGCAAATATTTATTTATTATGTAACGTTAAACGTTAATAAAATTATTAATTATTTATAATATAAGAAAAAATTTATTAATGGTCCGCGAATGAAAAATAAAAAAAAAAAAAAATTTTTTTTATTTATTTTTTATGTATATTTATTTAAATTCGTAATTATTATCGATAGTTATTAATTAAAAAAGAAAAAGAAAAAAATAATAATAATAATTAAAGTAACCTTCCTCCGTGCTCCATAAAATTTTTAAATTTTTTTTTCATATATATATATGTATTGTTATGATCCCATATTTTAAATTATTTATTAACAATAAAATTATAACAATAAATATTATTTATGTTAATATTGTTAGTATTTAAAAAAAAAAAAAAAAAAAAAAAACAATCACCAAAAATTATAAAAAAGAAACTTACTACTTGCCGTCTCGTTTAAAAATGAAATGCATTTTGGTTTAAGTTGGTAACCATGGTTACCAACTTATGCAGACGACAAAGTTTAAAAAAAATTTTTTCTGCTGTTTTGTTTACAAACATTGTTATTTAAAGTTAGTTTTACATATTCTGATGTTTTTTTTTACATTCTGGTGATTTTCGTCCATCTTTTCGTTTGTTATTTTAATATTTGTTCGTGTTTTTAAATTCAGTTTGGGTGCAAGTTTTGTTTATTATTAAATAACGGTTTGCATGTTAAATAAAAACTTTTAATATGAACTAAATTTTTCTATAATTTTTGTTGTTCCTGTCTACCGACTGTTACGAATATATCGAACTTTATATTTTTGTATTGTGTTTATTATTTAATAATACATTTTCAAAAAATTGATGAAGTAAGAGTGTCATTTTTTTTTTTTTTTTTTGCCAAAAACAAAACATTTGTTGACTTGCACTAAAACTATAAAAACACTAACAAAAATTTAATAAAACAAACAAAGAACAAAAAAAAAAAATTATTTAAACTACCTTTTACAAATTTTAATAATTGTTATTATTATTTTCTTATTAAAATACTAACAATATTACTTAACAAAAGAAACAAAAAATTTTTTTCAATACTATGGAAAACATATTCGATTAACATGTTAATAAATATTTTGAAAAAAATTTTTTTTTTTTTACATTAAAAATGGAATCATAACAATTATATAATAATTTGTCTACGAAATAAAATAAATCAAAAAATACAAAAATAATAAACAAAAATAATTTTTCTTTTAATTAAATAAATTTTGAGTGTGTGTAACTGAATGGAGGTCAAGGCACAATAGAATAATTTAATTAAAATTTTTTTGGAAAAACAAAACTGGAAATGAAAAAATAATAATAATAATAATAAAAAGGATTTTTCTTATTTATTTAATTTTAAGCTCTTCATTAGTAAAAGCGCAAAAGTGATAAGTGAAAAATAATTTAAAAATTTAATTAATTAAATAATTATTAGCCAAAAATAATTTAAGAAAAAAATTTTTTTTAAAAATAATAATAATAATAATAATAATGGCACAGACCAAATAATACGTTCGTTATATACCTGATTATAAAAATTCGGGACGTGAAATTTTAATGAAAAAAATCATTTTTTAT